CGTTTTCCTTCTTTAATTTTGTTCCCCATCTGTTTAAATTGCTTCAGCGACCCCCATCCACTTAATGTTTGTCTTGAATTGTAATGCTGCAGCTTTATACTCCTACGGTCCTTGGGGGAAAGATGATATTTAGTTTGGCCCATTGTCAAATACCAAATGGAGATATCTAAAAATTTAGTGCAACAGACAAATGCAAATAAATAAGAAAACAAGAATAATACAGTATTCAGAGAATAAGAACAAGCACCATGATGGATCTGGGTGAGAAGGAAATATCCGTTTCCAATTCTACTACAGAGGCTGGATGAAACTGTACAATCTGGGAACCTGGGTGCTTCCAGAATGGAATCCTTAGTAGGCAGAGTACCCAATGGGATGAGAAGACAGCAAAACTTAGTCCCCACCAGATATGGTGCCAGACATTCCTTATTCTTAAGCTCATCTAAACCACAAAACATTCGGCATAACTCTACCTTGTAGATACTAAATATACTACTAACAAAGTTTAACATGACAAAATTACAAACTGATCACAAAATAAGATCCTGTTGTTTTCCGTGAACTTTAATAATTTCAGGGTCTTTAGTCAGAACCTGTGATTAGTTTGATTTAACATTATAGACATGTTTTCCATATTTTTCACTATAATTGCAAAATAATTTCCATACAGTCATATGGGAGCCTATCTATACATCCCGTTATCAATCACAAAAAGATGTGTAAACAGGCAAGTAGAAGGGTTCTGTAAAAGTGAACTCTAAGGCTAGTTTTCCATGAACTAAATGGTCCTGCAGGAAAAAGTTATCCAAATTCAATTGTTTTTAGGACTAAAAGACAAGGAGATGAACTTATCTTTGAAATTAAGAACTTGCCTCTGTCTAGGGGGCAGTGGGCTTGGCAGAACATTCAATGATCTCACCAAGGGCCTGTGTAATGTAATAACACGAGACTGTGTGTTTATGGTAGATAATACCACTGAAGCATAACACGATGCATCCTGACATAATTCCGTTTGTAAAACCAGAACTCACTCAATATCCCCCATAAGACAATGACAAACAATGTAATACTCTTGAATAATATAAAACAGGAACACGACATTCATCCATTCAGTGTATTTACTGAGCATCTCCATGGCAGTGGATACTCTAAAGGACACAATGACAAATGAGATCTGATCATTTCCTGGGGAAACCTACAGCCTCGGAGGGGGACATGCTATGGACACGTAGTTAAAATGTGAGGAACAGGGCGAGCAACAGCCTAACAGGTGCCATGAAGGGTTCTGGACTTTAGAGGAAGGGGGTAGATGTTTACAGATGGTGCCCGGGAAAGGCTGCATGAAACAGATGGCACGTGGGCTGTTTGGAGGTGGGGCTAGGATTTCAGCAGAAAAGGGGAGATTCGAATGGAGAGGGAAGTGGAGTGTCACAGGCTGGTTTGGGGGTGTGACAGGCCAGCTGGACTACAGCACAGATGGTGTGTAAGGGAGTGAAAGGCATGGGGGGGGGGGATGTAGACGGGTATCAAGGTCAACCTCGTAGGTGAAAGAATGCCTGAAGGCTATTCTCAGGGAAGGGATACATTCCCCCTGCACTTTGAGAACATGTAGGACCGCTTGGAAGGGAAAGACACTGAAGACTGGAATTCCATTGCGGGGCTCTTTTATGCTCCAGGCATTCGCTTGTGAAGGGGGAGTCTAGGGAACTCACTATGAGTAACGCATGCGTGTGTTTTAACTATAATATTTCACTTAATTCTCATGACAACTCTGAGAAATAAATAACATTAACTCCGGGGGTTTAGTTGAAGAAATTAAGGCTCCAAGAGATTACTAAGGTCACTGAGTTAATGAAATAAAAAGGGGAGAGGAGCAGGACTCGGCAGTGGGACTTTAATGTCCACATCATCTGCATGATACCACTATGATAAAGAGCCTTTTTATAAGCTCCCTCAATGCAGGCTCGGCAGCTCAATATTGTAGGTGTGCCTCTGGTAGAGAGAATCACATGTCGCACGAGAATGACTGATGACAGAGAGTTTCTCCTTGGAAATTGAAATCAGGGAGATTCCTCTGCCCCAAGTGACCAGGGAAACTTCCCTGCTACACTGAGAGCTCTTTATGAGTGGATGCTGCCTTGGAGTCCCGAAGAGCCCAGGGAAGTACTCAAGGAGAAACTGTCATCATGAATCAAACTTGTGATTCATGCAATATATTTTCTATTCTGAACAGACATTCCAAGGACCTGAAATAGTTTGTATGGTTCTAAGATAGCAACCCTGAGAGTTATTTCCACATATTCTGCTCCAGGTCTGGGATATATAGTAAGTTCTCACTTAACATCATCTGTGGGTTCTTACAGCTGCACCAAAACAATGTATAATGAAACCAATTTTTCCACAGTTAGTTGACATGAACAAGAGGTAAGGTCCCACAGCATCGCATTGATGTTATAACGAAAAAAGGTTATTTGAGGACCTGCTATTCAAGGGTTGGACCAGGACCTCTGCCAGCCCAGCTGTCAATTCCAGGTGCTCCTTCCCACCACTGGATCAAGCTCTCCCTTTCTATTTACAGTCGGTGCAACCATGTCTTGTTCTTAGGCTAGCACCCCTGTCTTTGAACTCTGCTCACATCTCAGTTCCTGTCTCCCTAACAAGATATGGAATGTGGCAGGACCTCTCTAATACCAACACTTTGCTTTGCTTGTGGAAACCAGCCAGGTCCACTGTCTAGGCTTCTGGAACTGTCCCCATCTCCTGGCCTACCCCAGAGGGCCTGCAGAGTCATAAGCCTCCCGCTCTTTCGGGTCTAGCCTGTGCTTCTGCTTCATGAGAAGAGTTCTGAGAAGAGTCATCATAGCGGTGGAAATAGTTTTCATACTTACATAGCATTTGCTCTGTGCCGGGCATTATTCCAGGTATTTTACAAATATGAATGCCTATAATCATCACAGTATTAACAGCCTCATTTTATTGATAAAAAAAGGCAAAACAAAGAACCTGAGGCTGAGAGATTAAGTTACTTGTCTAAGGTGACATAGTTTGCTAGTGGCAGAGTCAATAATACGAATCCAGCATTCTGGCTATAGTTCATTCTCTTAACCCCTATGTGCTCCTCCCTCCCTCTCCAATGACAGTGAGAAGGTGAAGTACATATCATTAGTGAATGTATTTACCATCTTAGACGCCCCATTTTCTACACCTGGAATAATACTATCACTAATAGTTCTCAGATTTATGTTCATAAATATATTAACATTTAGCTATAAATCTGATCCCCAAAATCAGTTAGAAAGACCTTACATAATGCTGAAACTTTGATACATGAGTAATTTCATTTTGATTGAAAATACCACAGATGTTCTGCATTTAGGGACATCTAATAAGACAGTAGGGTTCAAAGATATTGCTATTTTCATAGCAAAAATTATCCAAGAATACTGGTAGAGAAGACAATCATGAATATGACACTGATGGGAGGGAAAACAAATATGAAGATTTAAAAATCAAAGGAGAGTTACTTAAAAGGTCTCATCTTAATAAAAAAAAGAATCAAAGTACAGATTGTCAACATCTGGCAAATTGGATAGTTCTGTACTCTCTAGTTTACTTGACAAAATGATAACACATCATGGTTATCAATTCAGAAGTGAACGTCCGACCACATGTATTATAATCAGGAATTTTAAAAGGAATTAAATAATATAATAGTATCTATGCTAATATGAATTTTGAGCTGCTCCGATTTATATTATCTTTATTTATTAAATATAGAACAATCATTATAAAACTGGTGAATATCCCTATGTGCCAGAGGATGGAGATAAGTGATCAAGGCATAAAAGAAGCCTGTTTTCTAACAGTAGAGATGGAAAGACCATAAGCAAGTCAGTAAGTAAATGCACAGGATAATTCTGTATAGCAAAAAGAGCTATGAAGAAAGTAAAACAAGGTTATATAATCCAGAATAAAGTCAACTCGTCGGGATATGACCTTTGAGCTGGAACCTGAGTGACAAAGAAGGGAGCAGAATGAGAGAAAGAACTCTGTATTGGCATGCTCCCTGCGCCAGGAGCACAGGAACAATGGGAGATGGGCAGACCTGCAGCCAGAGAGGTGGGAAGGGCACAGATCATCGGTCCTTGTAACCATGGCAGAGGGGAATTTTATTCTAAGTGTCAGAATAAGTCAGCATAATGCTGCAAGTTAGGGGAGTGGTGTGACCTGATGTACATTTTGAAAGATCATGTTAGCTGCCATTTGGAAAATGCATCCTAGGAAGTCAAGCATGGAATCAGAGAGACCCACAGGAAGCCTCTGCAGCAGGGAAAGCTACTGTAGTAGGGAACAGAAGATGGTCGCTTGGACGTAAGGTGTATCAGTAGAGAAATAGATGGAACGGGGACATATTTTGGAGGTAGAGTAATAGGACTTGTTGATGAATTAGAGGCAGGGGGTTAGGGAGGGCAACTGGGAATGATTCCTGGGCTTTGAGTGGATGGTGTGTGATCTAGTCATAGGTAGAAGACTAAGAGAAAAAAAATTTAGGAGAATTAAGATTCATAGGATATTAGTAAGCAGAATGATAACAGAGTGATATCCACAATGACATTTACATTAAACTCAGGGAAGTGGTAAGTAACAAACTCTCATAAAAATCATATGGCATATGATCGCTGGTTAGTTTTCCTGTTAGCCTACTCATGCCCCAAGACCATCCTCAGTTCTGGAAATGAAATGAAAACTTAGTCATCCATTCTGGCTTTATGTGGACATACTCTATTTTAGAGAGAAGTTCTAGAAATGCTGAGGAGCTGCGAGCACATGATAGGTACTCAAAAACACATGTGGTGAACTGAGTGACACCTATTTGTCTTAGAGACTGCGTAATCTACCTACAATAGGACTAAGAGTAGAATTGAGAACTCTCAAAATTGCCATGTACTATGAACCTGAATTACAGCAGTCCCTTATTTTAAAATATTCTTTGTGTGTACATATGTGTGAATCTCCATAGCATCATTCCCGGGCTATCTTCAGTTTCGTTGTAAAACAACACTTCATAGACACCAGGCATTTTCAAAGGTTCTGTTAAATGGAAGTATAATTAACTGTATATTTCTGAAGTGAATCATTTTGGTGTATGACAGCAAGAAAAAATTATGAGGATAAAAGTAAAAGTATAAAGAAGCTGGGTAGTCAATTTTATGGGTTTGAGATGGGAACAAATCAAGAATTGACCCTTAAGATACATCAAATGGTAACTTACTATTTTTTGTACTCCGGGCATTAATGTACTTTTTCAAGTGATCTTATTCTGTTACCTCTTAGTAAATGTGCAGCTAAACCTGCACACACACGCACACACACACACACACACACACACCCTGAAGCTGTTACTACTTACCGGCATCTCTTATATACTGAAAAAGACCCGTCCGCAGGTCATCGGAACTTTGTTCACTTTTAAATGTCTGGTTCTTTTCCACAGGAGGTGGCACATGTGGCACCGCTTCAGAAACTTCAACATTTCTCTCCTCATTAAGGTATCCATTGAGTAACTCATGTAGAAGAACTAAACAATTCAAATGTTCTTGACCCCAGAAAACCTTTAAAACCAGATGAAAAATTTTAGTGGCTTAAAAATATAAACATTTCATGAAAATAATTAGGCACAATCATATCTGAATTAATGCAAGACTGCAATTACATTTAATGTAATTACTGACAATAAGTAAACTATAATTTCTAAGTAATTGGACCTATAGGATGTAATTCTATTGCTTGAGTAAATATATAAAAACAACAAAATCAATTACATCATATATTATGTGAATAACAATCAATTTTAAATGCTAAATTAATGATGAAATTATGTTAATGTGAGGTAATGTTTATTAACTTAGCTAAAAGGGAAAAGAACACCTATTGTAATCTAAGAAAAGGCAATGAAGATCTCCTAAGCCAAAATGTTAAAATAAAAATAATAATCTTGTAGAATAGCTTCCTACATTTTGTCATGAGATTAAAAAACACATATTGATTATAGGGTTCTTTTCCTTGCATTTTTATTTTTAAGAGAAAGAGAGATGGAAGATGCTAAATGAACCTGAACTACTCAAAAGCCTCCCAACTTCTGTGTTTAGTGAGAATATGCCCATACACAGTATTTCACAGCCCGAACCAACTGGACAGGAGCTCTAGTAGAGTTTCAGAACAAATATATTAGTGTTTCTTATGAGAGAGAGGATCAAGGTCCCTTTTTCTACATGTGAAGAATATTAATCTATAACAGAAGTCTGACTGGTGGGTAATAATAATTGTGGATTCAAAATGTCAATAATATTATATGTCTATGAATATATTGGATAAAGGCAGCACAACTATTAATTCTAAGAAAACCACACACACACACACACACACACACACACACAGAGGTAGAAAAAATTAACCCTGTACATTGTAGCTATGTTTAAATCCTGGGTTTGGGTTCTGCTTTCTGGAATTAAGGTATCTCAGAAATGAAGGTAAGAGATATGATACTAAGTCTATTGATACTAAGTCTATCTAGGTCAGTGGTTCTCAACCTTCCTAATGCTGCGACCCTTTAATACAGTTCCGCATGTTGTGGTGACCCCAATTTCATTGTTACAAATTGAACATAATTAAAGCATAGTGACTAATCACAAAAACAATATGTAATTATATATGTGTTTTCTGATGGTCTTAGGCGACCCCTGTGAAAGGGTCGTTGGACTCCCAAGGGGGTTGCGACCCACAGGCTGAGAACCGCTGATCTAGGTTCTCATCAATATTATTTTTGGATCTGAAAAGATAGAGATAAGTGAAAAGTCAAATTGAACACTGCTCCAGCCTTTAAATAGTGAAGAGACAGTCATCTTCGTAATATAGAGATGATCTACCTTGGTTTTGTTCATTGTTTTTTTATTAAAATTATTGGGTGACATTGGTTAATAAGATCATCTATGTTTTAAAGTGTACATTTCTATGAGACATGATCTGTATATTGCATTATGTGCCCATCACCCAGAGTCAAATCATCTTCCATCACCATAAATTTGGCCCCTGCTCTTTTTGTTTTTAATGTGGAGTTACTTTGCTGCCTTGAAAAAATGGTAGAAAATAGATGTGGAAAATTTCCAAAGCAGTACAAAAGCAAAAGTTATTAGGATCCCCCACATCTAGATCTGTGTCAGTAAGAACGCTGATGAAAAAGTTGGAGCAACACAATTTTAAGATGACAATAAGGAATTAATATATAATATGCCTCCATTATTCACACATTAGTCATTTCCATTTTCTATAATTGTGGATTTCTTCAATTTTTGAAATTATATCAAATTTGGGAGGTATCAACTCATATAAAGAATACATTAACAGGAAAAATAAGAAAACCAGAATAGGTTAATAACAACTGATGAAATTGAAGCAGTAATGAAAAAACTTCCAGCAAACGAAAGCCCTAGTCCAGGGAGCTTCACAGGGGAGTTTTACCAAACATTTAAAGAAGAACTAACATCTGTCCTCCTCAAATTATTCCAAAAAATTCAAGAGGAAAGACCCTTCCAAGCGCTTTTTATGAGGCCAGCATTATCCTAATTCCAAAACCAGATAGAGACACTACAAAGAAAGAGAATTATAGGCCACCATCCCTGATGAACATAGATGCTAAAATCCTCAACAAAATAGCAAATTGGATCCAGCAATATATTAAAAAGATCATACACTATGACCAAGTGGGACTTATTCCAAAGATGCAAGGCTGGTACAATATTCACAAATCAATAAATGTGATTCATCACATAAACAAATTAAAAGATAAAAATAACACGATCATATTGATAGCCACAGAAAAAGCATTACACAGCCCTAGCCCGTTTGGCTCAGTGAATAGAGCGTCGGCCTGGGGACTGAAGGGTCCCAGGGTCAATTCCCGTCAAGGGCATATACGTTGGTTGCAGGCACATCCCCAATAGGGGGTGTGCAGGAGGCAGCTGATCGATGCTTTTCTCTCATCAATATTTCTAGCTCTCTATCCCTCTCTCTTCTTCTTTGTAAAAAAATCAATAAAATATATTTTTTTAAAAAGAAAAAGCATTACACAAAATCCAACATCAACTTTTCATAAAAACTCTGAGCAAAGTGGGAATAGAGGGACCATACTTCAACACAATAAAGGCCACGACAAACCTACAGCCAACATCATACTGGACGGACAAAAAATAAAACCATTTCCCCTAAGAACAGAAACAAGTCAAGGATGTCTGCTTTCATCACTCTTATTCAACGTAGTACTGGAAGTACTGGCCATAGCAATCAGACAAGAAGAAAAAATAAAAGACATCCAAATTGAAAGGAGAAAGCAAAACTGTCATTATCCACAGATGACAGGACATTGTACATAGAAAACACTAAAGACCACCAAAAAACTACTAGATTTAATGAATGAATTCAGCAATGTAGCAGGATACAAAAGTAACACCCAGAAATTGATGGCATTTTTATGTAATGAACTTTCAGAAAGAGAAACAAACAAAAAAAACACACCAAGAATCCCGTTTATCATTAACAAATGGGATTACCATTTATTAATGGGATTACCATTAACAAAAAATCAACTACTTAAGAATAAACTTAACCAAGGTGGTAAAAGATCTGTACTCAGAAGACTACAGGAAATTGAAAGAGACAGAAGAAGATATAAACAAGTGGAAGAATATACTGTGTCCATGGATTTGTAGAATTAACATCATTAAAATGTCCATACTACCCAAAGCAATCTACAAATTCAATGCAATCCCTATTAAAATACCAATGGTATATTTCACATATCTAGAACAAATACTCCAAAAATTTAAATGGAACCCAAAGACACCATGAATAGCTCCGCAGCAATTTTGAGAAATAACGAAGTTGGAGGAATCACAATACCAGATATCAAGCTATACTACAAAGTCACCGTAATCAAAATAGCCTGAATACTGGCACAAGAACTGGCATATAGATCAATGGAACAGAACAGAGAACCCAGAAATTGTCCCAAGCATTACGCTCAATTAAG